TTCATACATGTCCACCACATATGATAATAAGTACTAGAGTCTGATTACATTTCCAACATTTGGCGGACATGTCGTTAAACATTTTTGCTAGTCTTGCTGAGGGCAAATGCCACTTATAAAACATTTTATAAAGATTTTCCTCATGTGCAGTAGCCATTCAGATAATTACAAGGTACTAAAATAGGTTTACTAGCAAGCATGAAGAGAGAGGGACAGACAGAAAAAACCTAAACGGTACTCATTAAGACAAGGAATATTAAAGCTTCATTCCCAGATTTTCTGTAAGCCTTCCTTGTTTTGCTCAAAAAATCTTGCTATTTAGAATTATTGACCAGTCTTAGCTTACTGACCATTTATACTGTAGCTCTCCAGATAGAAATTAGCCACTGTAACATTTTTCCTATATATACAATTAAATATAATTATAATTAAACACATACACATACATTCTAACTTCACTGCTACAAATTTCAAAAAGCATGATGATTCCAAGATTAGAAGCAAAGATCATTCTCAACTGCAGAAAGATTTCCCCTTTGGGGACTGTACAATTACTTAAATCTTTCACTCAGAGAAACATGATTGACTCACTAATTACTGTGCAGAAACATTTTTTGCTTAAGGTTCTAATACTTCAACTTGATTATTCTACTTCTATGTATTCTGTATTGCTGGTGCTGCTTCTCTGATTGCCAATTATGTTTATTTTATAAGCTTTTACTATATAACTTAAATGTATTATATCTTAAAGTAATATGCATTTTCAGTACAAGATGATGAAAAATGCCTCATGTCTTGTATTGTCTTGGGTTCTGATGTAATATCTGGCCATAATTCAGTAATCCAAGCTTCAAACATGGGCACACTATGCCATATCCTGTCATTATGCTCTTTGTTCTTCTGTACTTTTACTAATTCAGCTAAACTGGCATGCTATGGTTTCTACTTGCCCTCAAGTCTAAAATGTAAATCTGATTATGAGTTGCAATTCTTCTTTTGAAGTTAGATGTAATAGCAAACTGTCTTCTGCAAAGGAGACAAGGGAGGGTTCAAGGAGGAAATGATGGTTTGGAGCTCACTTGTTTATGTCAACTCATGGGTCAATGTTCCATTTGAACAAAATCATTCTGAAGATACTTTACAAATAATGTAGAATTTTTAAAAAAATTAAAAAGTTAAAACTATGAAGAGGTATAACTTGGCAAATTATTTCTCAGTAATTATCTTTCTATCCTTATTCTTCCATTCATTTGGCCCAATACATATTTTCTATGCAAGAGAATATGTGCCTGTCAACCAACTTCCAGCAGTCCCAGCTGGATTGGCCAGTAATGGGATCTTCTGTTCAACTTCTACAAAATCTTAAAGAGACATGGATTTTTTTTTTACCTCAATCTACATTACAAATAGTATTTTAAAATATATAATCTACAAATTTTGCATTTTGTTTTCATGACAAAATAAACTTAAAGAGACTTTCAAGCAAAATATATTTCAAAGCACACAAAAAAATCAGCTAGGAAAACCACAGTAATAAAAGCCAGAACCTTCCCAAAAAAATTGAAGAAATAGAATGATTCCTCTGTTAGTATTTTATATCAGATATTTAACATGACTCTTTTTGCAAGTCTAAAATAAATATGCCAAGTACTGAAGGAAATAGGATGCTTTACTAATAAAGAACTACTACGAGATGGATTTGTGACAAGACTAAAGAGAAGCAGAATATCTGAGACATGGAATATGCTTCCTATGTAATCCATTAAAAGGCTCAAATTAAAAAAATACAATTAAAAAAAAGGGTCAAATTCAATTTATATGATGGAGCTGAACTTCCAAAGAGCCTCAACCATTCAGAGAAGACATTTCTACGTTATATGACTTAATACAAAGGAATTTGTTCTGTCTGTACATGTTAGATCTCTGTATAGATTTCTTATTGTCTGACTTCCATATTAGAAAAATCATTATGTGAAAAATCATTGTTGTATAAATGCAGGTGGCAGAAGGTCAATCAGATATGTAAATCCAAAAGCCAGAAAAAACAACTTACAGAAGGCATACCTTGTGTTTACCATCAAAGCTGACACCAGCCAAAGTATAGAAAAACTTAAATAGTGCAAGATCGAAAGATGTGGAGAGAATATGATTTCAGCAACAGAGTGGTCAATGCCTGGAATGTTCTACCTGACTCTTTGGTTTCTTCCCCAAACCCCCAGAACTTTAAGTTTAGACTATCTACTGTTGAGCTGACCCCATTCTTAAGAGGTCTTTAAGGGGCATAAATAAGCGCACCATCCCTGTCGTAATGTTCCCTTTTATTTGTATCCATCTCATGTATTCATAATTATGTCTATACTTATATCTGTTATCCAATACATGCTTGATGAAATAAAATAAATAAATAAACATACAATTTCAGTCCTCATCAAATAGGGCCATTATGGTAATAAAATATGACAAACTAATAACAGACTATTGGGAGAAATGTCTTGATAAATACGGATCATGATGGCAATGCTGGAAAAAAGTTTATAATAGATTTTTAAAAGTATGTTTGAGAAAGTATTGCAGGTACTCTTTTTTTCCTATTTGCTCTCACATTAGGAAGTGTTTTGTAATTTTATTATTATGGGCCTCCTATTAGAGGCCTCAGGATTGCCTTCCCTTAAGGGGAGGGGTGATGTAACTTTAAACATATTAGCTACTGACCATTAGGAGGCACTACATGGGGGTCATTGTTTTGTTCCAGACACTGTGTGAAAACCATCTGATGTAGTAGTTAAGCCATCAAGTCTAGAAGCCAGGAAAGTCAGCTGGCCTAATGACTCTTCCCCAGCCCTAGGAAAAGGCAAGAGTAAGCTATTTTTGAAATTTTGCCAAGAAAACTCTCCAGGTAGTCTCCATTAAAAGGCTTTACCAACCTTCAAAGTTATGCGGACTGAAAAAAATAACTTTACAGCCCATTTACAACCTTCACAGCTTTCTTCAGTCAAATGATCATTATTACAGTCAGTACACCTTGACCTCTATGTTCTTTTCTTTTTCCATCCTACATCCTTCCCATCCTACAGAACAGAGAGACTGGAGAGGAAGAGATTGCAAGAGACTAAGGTGTTTGCACTTCAGCACATTGAAAGCAATGGAATGGCGGTAGTGAAAAAAGATCAGGCAAAGGAGAGATTACCTACAGAAATCATTTGCTTTTTCTGAGATTTCAAGAGTTAACTGTTTGTGTAGGACTCTGGCAGCTTCCAGCCTTGGACTGGTGGTATGACGGCATTGCTTTCAATGTGTACAAGATAACAAAAAGGATCTCAAGCATTCCAAGAGGTGAAGTGGTTAGGAGGCAAACAAAAACCAAAGGTGTAAAACTGATTAGTCTTGTGTCTTTCTAGACAGAAAGCACAGCTGCCATCAAGTTATTTCCTACTTAGATACCACTTTGCTTAGAGGCAGAGTTGTCAGGTTCAATTAGGGTTCTTAAGTGAGGATTAGCTGTAGTGTCTCCTACTGATCAGTAAATAACAAAAAATATATTAACTTGGACTGTTGACTCTACATCCCAAAGAGTATCAATATCAATTCAATATTGCTACTTTGGTTAATTAGGGAAATGCAAATACCAATATGCTGTTAGGCATAACAATAAAAGTTGTAAGCAGCCAAAACCAAATCTGTTCAGTCATCTCCATGCCACATTACTTAATAAAGGGCACTGTGTGAGGGGAGAGAATTATAGTCTTTGTTCTATTCACAATACAATCCTAAAATTTTTTACTCAGAAGTCAGCACTTCTGGAAGTCAAGATAATTTATACCAGACTCTAACCTCAAACCTATTCAATGCAAAAATGCTCAGTGACTGCTAATTTTTAAAATCAGAATTCTCAGCCATTTATTCTGTTTCACTCAAGAGAACCAAGCTAGCAAGTTAGACAAGAAAGAAAAGATAAGTCTATTATCTGAGGTGAACTCCAGAATTACATGGACACATTTCATGTGCTTTTCTTGGCAATAATCCAGTTTGCTTAATGCCTTCTTCCAAGATGTTTTCCCACCATTTCAATCTTGCCTACGGCTCCTGAAAGTATACCATAATGTGCATACCACACTAAAAAAAAATTGAGCAACATAAAATACTTTTTTACTAACAGCAAAAAATGTAACATTTTCTGAAACAACCTGAGAAAACCACTTATGAAACCTGGTATACAAATTAACTCTTTTATAGATAGGGTTTTGCAAAGAAATCAGCGTTATCTCATTACAATAAAAAAAAAAAAACCAGTGAAATTTCCAAATCCGGATGGCACTCAGGTACCAGCTCATATCTACCTTTGCAAACACAAACTCAGGATGCAGTTTTACTATAGCAGATTGTCCTAATGCAAAAAAGTCAGCTTTCGCCTTAGATACTGATGCAGGGGGTTGAAAGGGGTTTGGAAACAGGCCGCAAAAATGTGTGTGTAATTTGCCAACCATTCAATTAAAGAGTTAGCTGAAGACAAGCTTGATAAGCGAAGGGCTACCAGACCTGCCGAAACCTCCCTTAAGTTATGCTTTCTGCTGAAGCTGGAAGGGGGGACAAAAGTAGGCGAGAGTTCGCACTAGTGTGATGGCTAAAAAGGTTAAAAAGTTGCACTGTTCCCTTTAGACCACGAAGTGCGCGCGTACAGTACCGCGTCCGCCAAAAGCCTCCCCAAAAGCCCACAGAGAGCCACGGAAGAGCAGGGCAGCCAGCGCAAAGGGGAGAAGCGCAACGAGGAGGAGGAAACCCGGCTCGGGGTTTGCTCACCAGGCCGAGCCCGAGCGCCTCCCTGCCTTCCAACCGGCCAGGAAGGAGCGCGGCGGTTGCCTCCAACGGCAGCGGGAAACGTTAGCGCCCCCGGCGCAGGGAAGCGCGTGGCGCCGGCCCCCGCCTCTCCACGGGGACGCAGCTGCTCCCCCTGTCCTGCCCCGGCTTGTCCCGGCGCCGCCTCCGACTCGGCGCGCTCTTACCCAGGCACTTGATCTGGAAGCCGGCGGGGGGCTTGAGAGCCCTGCGCATCCAACCCTCGCGCAGCGCCTCCAGGTGCTCCTCCTTGCCCTGGATCAGCAGCACCTGCTCGTCGATCCAGCCCAGGAAGAAGGTCTCGGCCACGGCCGCCGTCACCTTCTTGTTCCAGAAGTGCTGCATGTTGCCCTGCTTGAAGTCGGCGAAGATCTCGTAGCCGATGTGGTGCCGCCCCAGCTCGCTGTCCGCCGCGGGCTCGCCTTCCGCTCGGCTTCCCTGTCCCGCTTCCCCGCCGGCGTCGTCGCCTTCTCTCTGCGCTCGGGCTGCTGCTTGTTCGGGCGGCGCGGCTTCATCCCCGCCGCAGGGGCTCAGCACGATCGCCAAGGAATGCGGGGCAATTTGCAAAAATTTATCCAGCCTGCGCGGCATGTCGGCCCCGGAGGAGATTTAAAGGGAGCCGCTCAGCGCCTCAGCAAAGGCGAGCAGCCGCCGCCAACTTGGGACAGCCATGAGCCCGGGACAGAGCCCGCTGCAGCCGCTCTGCCGGTCGGGCGCGACTTCCAGCTCAGCCAGAACCTCCCCCGCCGGGCCGGCCGCAGGTACAGCGCCTCCCCGCCCGGCCCGCCTTCTCCCAGCCACACGTGCGGCGCCCGCCCGCCTCCGGGCCAGGGGGCTCTCTGCGACTCCGCCTCCGCCTCCGCCTCCGCCTCCTCCTCGGCGGCCCTCGGAGCATGCCTGGCCGGTCCGGCGCGCTACTCGCCTTCCGCGAGTTTCTTTGCTGCCTTTTAACGTGACGCGCTCAATGTTATGACGTAAACCCTTAATTAAAAGCTTTCCTTAAAGAGTTTCGCAGTACGGCCAACTTTTCTCCCGGAATTAAGTGAACTAGCTTAACAAACATTGGAGCCTAATTAAAAATGCTGATCATGAGCCATTGTGTAAAGACCCTGACTTGAAAAGTATCTCTGACCATTTCCACTTCATTAAAAACAAGGTATAAATATAATGTCCACTTCCTGTTAGCCTATCAAGGAGCTAAATTCTAGCAAAAAGAATATTTAGACCCCCATAAGTTAATTTTTAGAAGCCAGACTGGAAAAGTTCATTTACAGCATCAGGTGCAACACTCTGCTCTGTAGAACTCCAAATTATTTATTTATTTATTTATTTTATTTCTATTATTAAAGCATTTGGCTCTATCCTCTACCTGAGCATAACCAAACAAGTGGATCTTTCTGAGTAATTGATTCTTATTCTTAACTGTGAGAACTTTTTTCCCCTTACATTCAGTTAGAATGTATCTTTCTATAACCTACATTTTGCAACAATGGTTCTATGATAAGCTGCAGAAAATGTCAGTTCTATCACCAAGTTCCATTGTTGGCTCCTTGGTGACCTTGGTGAGAGGTTAGAAGATGTAATTTTTCACATTTCAGAGAACTTAGATACGTGAGTTAGGAAACATCTTGACAAGTTGGCACAACCAGTAAGGAGAATTTAAACCAGAAAAAAGTAAGCCTATATCGGGGTTTGAAAAATAAAAATAGGAATATAACATGGGGAACGTGATATAGGGCAGTAATATCTATGAAAAGAGCCTAAATGCTTTGGTGATTACAAATAGTTTGCAATTAATTATTCCAACTTATTTACAAACAGCATTTCCAAATCAGATATTCTCTATGCCACAGGTGTCAAACTCCCGGCATCACATTGCTGTTACGTGAAATTTGTGACATTTTGTGACCCTTCACTGAGGTGGGGTGGGCATGGCCTGCACATGACGCATCTGGCCTGTGGGCTGCCAGTTTGATACCTGTCAAACTGGGGTGCATATACTTGTGCATTTGTTTTTGTTTCTTGTGTTAACATTTGCCTTTCATATTTTAGCCCATTTCTCTAGCCCAGGGCTGTCAATGTCACATCATCATGTTGTCATCACGTGACATATCTTGACTCTTTTCCCTTTCACTAAAATGGGGGTCGGGTGGCCAGCACGTGATACATCCAGCCCACGGGCCGCGAGTTTGGCACCCCTGCTCTAGCCTATCAAACTTATTTTGCATTTTGTTACTTTATGTTATTAGGTACCTCAGTTCATTTTGTTTTATCTGCAAATCCAGTAAGAATTCCTTTTTAATTGTTTCATCAATGTCATGAATATGGAGAAATCAGATTTACTTCTCTCCAATTTGATGAGAAACCATTCATGAGCACTCTTTGAGCATAATGTTCAAGCTAGCTATGCAGCTAATTTCATGCTGTCCAGCCAACACTAAACTAGTTTACTTTGTCAAATGCTTTGGTAAAGCCAACATATACCTACTGCATTCCTAAAATCAATTACGGAAGTTATCAAAACATAAGAGTAAATCTGAGTCTAACTTTACAAATCCATTCTGATTTCTGGGAATTAAACACTGTTTTTCTAAGACTTATACCCACCTAGCAATTCGAAAACATGGAAATGCCGGTAGATTAATAGGTACCACTTCAGTGGGAAGATAATGCCTTTAGCATATAGCTATGCTGGGCACATGACCACAAAAATTGTCTTCAGGTACCCCTGGCTCCCTCAGCCAAGAAACAGATGAGCACTCTGCCCTGGAGTTTGACATGACTGACAGGGAAACATTTACCTTTACTTTCCTAAGACTTATAACTTATCTTTTTATGATATACTCTTCCTAGTATCTACATAAAAGTTATTGGTCTGTGGTAGCTTGGATGCTATTTTTTTCTCCTTTGGCAGTAACAGACATTTGATCTGTTCCAATAATCTTGCACTCTTCAAGTCCCAGAATTTATTTATTTATTTATTTGATTTGATTTGATTTGATTTTTATACTGCCCTTCTCCAGCAGGACTCAGGGCGGTGAACACCGAGATAAAACAGAGCATACAAATTTAAAAAAAAAAGTTTAAAAGGTCATTAAATAATTTCGGCCCAGTCTCAAAGAGTCTCAAAGACTCTTGTTTACTCACATTTGTATGCCACCTAGTCTTTGCAATTCTAAATAGCATGTAGTCAGATGCAATTTGTCTGGTTTTGGAGTTTATTCAATGTATTCCTGACAAAGTTTCAATCAATCTCCAGCTTCAAACCTGACCCTTACACAGCACACCTTGCAATAATTTACAAGCTGCAGTCATATGTCATGCATAACGACTGCACCAGAATTGATGAAAGTATGACAGTCATGCTTTTCACTTAATAAACACATCACTTAGCAATGGGCCATTAAGTGAGGACTATGTTTTGTTGAAGAACTGAAATAGGAATTGTCTTAACATTGTTACTTTTTACCCATTAGCCAATAATAAAAAAAGTCTGTTTATTATTCTTGCCATCTTTAACTCTATTGTTTCCTTTATGACCTGGCTTTTTATGTTTCCTCTATGTGTTCTCAGTATGGGTGAGTACACTGAATACACCTCCTACTTGGTGGGATGCAGGCAACAGTATGATAGTAGTATGCTGAAGAGTGAAAAAATGCTATATTGTCCGAGAAAAAAAACTTAAGACACCCAATGGAGAATCTTTCATTCTTATTTTTCTGAGACAATCATTCTCTTGTATATATATATTCAACTAGTGTTACAGTCAACAATTCCAGAATTACATGGTCTCTTTCCTCCAATATTTTTGATGGCTCAAGTGTTTGAGGTTAAGTGAAGTAGTGATTGTCTTCAAAAGATAGGCCAGTTAAAATTAATTTTAAAAAGATATTTCAGTGATCTTGTTTAGCTTGAGTAAGAAAATGAAATTATTAAATAAAAATGTTACAGTTTAGTTGGATATTGGTGAAAATAAAGTTGTAATGTTTTCCCATCCAGGTTCATGGACTGTTAAATCTATCCATGCCCCATCCTTCATGTCAAGAGATCCTGCAGGTCTTGGTATCTCATCTTTGTATTTTCTCATCTTTCCCATACAATGCCTACATTTTTATATTTTTTTTTGTTGAAACTAGACTAAATTAATTAAAGAAATTAGGTGGCAAGAACACTTGAATAAACATTCAAAGGTAATTGTGGTAATTTTTTAAAAATTCAAGATTTTTTTTTTGCTGAGGATAGTATTTCTTATCCCTGAGGACAAGTTGACATACTTTGAGGATACTACCTAATTTCAGATCTTTTTGTTAACTAACACTAAATCATGTCACTTATTTATTTATTGTATTTATATGGCCACAATCTCACAAGAGTGTGACTATCATCATACTCAGCAAGATTTATTGTTAAATCAAGTGATATTCATCATTACTTCATTTTGTTCTGTTAGGAAATTTCTCCTTATTTCTAGGTTGGTTCTCTCCATTAGTTCCATCCATTTCTTCCTGTTCTGCCTTCATTTTCTTCATTTCTAAATTTTCCTTTATTTAGATCAGTGTTTCTTAAGTGGGATGCAAGAAACCCTGGGGGTCCCCCAAGACTCGGGTCCACAGAGCCAAAATATTTGCCAGATACTGAAGATATTTGCAAAAATTTAAAATTATTTCACTCTTCTCATTATGTTTTGTTTAAATTATCATTTTCAGTAACAATGCTAGTATCTAATGGGTTTAGTATTGTTAATTTTATGTCATTCAATAAATATTGTACAAATGTGATTTTAATTTTTAATATGGTAAATATTTATAAATAAAACCAATACAACAAAAGCTGCTTCGTAAAGTGTTAAAAAGTGGGAAGATGTCCTAAGAGTAAAAAGTTTAAGAAACACTGATTTAGATTATTGTTGACTCATATGAACATTAGATTGCTCATTTGTACATTTACAAGGATAATTAGTTGGCATCATGCTTGAGCCTTGACTGAAGCTATTCCAATGTGAGTTTTTAATATACTGGGTGGCTCTCCAGAATGCAGAAACATTAGCATTATAACGTCAGCCAAAATGTCTCACCCCCACATATGTTACTCATCTCTTCCAAACAAAGCAAAAAAGCAAATACTGACAAAATCTTCCTATACAACTTCTTCATTCTTACAATAGTAATTAAAATAGATGCAAATTTAAAATGAAGAGATTAAAAATACTTAATGTTTCTCTAATCTATGAGGCTTATGCTAACCATATTCTTGCTGGGCAAAAAACGTAAGTGTCGCGATCCACTCGACATCTCGCCCCGCTGCTACGGCCATGGACTCACGCTACGATCACGGGCTCAACCGCTCCAGCTGACGTGGGCGTCAAGGGGGGGTGTTGGGCGTCGGAAGCTATCTACGCTGTTACACGGTGGTGGGGTGTTATTTGAGGCGGTCGGTCACGGTGGCGGCCGGGGAGAGGGAGTATTGTTTACCTTCCTGCTGTAATGGGACGGCAGCCGGCGGCGCATGCGCAGGAAGCCCGGAAGGGCGATGGTCTTAACTACCATGCCGGCGCGCTATTTAAAAGGCGTTGGGAGGCAGCCGCTCCCAATGCCGACTTTATGTGTATTCGTATACCTGCAGCTTTGCCGTGCGGCGTGTGAAGGCATAGTGAATAAAGAAGTTGCATCAGCTTAGGCTCCGTGTGCTCCTTTCGCCTTGCTAACACGGACCCGCAACGCATCGTTGACAGAAAAGTCGGCGTTCTACCTCCTCGCTTTCGGCGGTGCTC